CAATTCAATCCATAATATCAATTTATTCTAGAAAATCTCATTAAATATCTAAGGTATGTTTATGTTCCAATCTTAGATTAGGCCTTATTTTTTTTTTTTTGTCCAAAGACAGTAGATTATTAACATGGAGACACAAGACACCTAACGAACCATGTTTTACTGCAAATCCGTATACCTGGATTGAAATGAAAGCCCACTTGGATTTAAAATTTCTGGTTTTCCTATAAATAAGTATGCATATGAGCCATGGGAAGAGGAATAGTCATGTGAAATATGAGGCTTGCTGGCTTACAGGTCAAGGGTATTGGCTATTGTGCCATCTCGACATCCCCAACACTATCAGTGCATTTAAACATAGTAGGTGCACAATATCTCCAGGCTGAGCAAACTATTAAATTAATTTCAACCTGTAAAGGATTCCAGTAGTGCCCAAGTCTATCAGTGTCATTTTACGGAGGATGAAATTGAGGCTACAGAACTTCAACATGCTATGACTACGCATCTAATTTTTGTGCACCTCCAGGACTAGAACCGAGGATTCTTGACTCCCAGTAGGGAACTCTTCCTTCAAACAAAAACAGGAATTCTCATTTACTAAGCACTTACTATGCACCAGGCACTTGGCATACACGATGACAAATCTTCAGGAAAGAACCTACAAGAGGAGTACTATCCCATATTTTAGATGAGGAAACTGGGGCTCCAAGAATATAAGTATCTTGCTCAAGCCCTCCCCTCTCCCCCAGTGCTGGTCAGCAGGGGAGCTAGGATTCAAATTCAAATCCGTCTGCTTCCAAAACCCACTTCCTTCCTCCTGGCATAGCATGTTTGCATTTGTGAATAGCATGAAGCACTGATCAGAAAAGTAATTATGCGGGCTTGCTAGAGAAAGCTAAAATCTTTTATCATTTTACTTACAAAAAAAAAAAAAAAAAACTATATCAAAACGTATCACCAAATCGTGTTCATATCCAATCTTTCTATACAATCATATTTTGCCGTTAACTCATAAAACTAATCTATTACCGAAGAATAACAGATCTGAAAGCTGAATGATTGCAGGTTACCTCGTGCTCAATGAATCACCAGGTGCCGATTCCATGTCTCCTGAAAGATGAAGAGGTGGGTGGGTGAGAGAACAACTAAATCACTACTTAAGGTAAGGAGTGCAATGTGACAGGCACATGTTAAAGTCCTTTCTTCTCTACAGGGAGATGGAGCTTCCAGCTAAGAGTAACCACTCCTCCGACCATCTTCCGAAATCCACCCAAGATAGGAGTTTTTGAAATACAGACTCCAAAAGGCCTGAGTTTTTCTGTTCTACCTGGAAGTCTGTAACACAAGCCATTCTGTGGGCTTTCAGGGTCGGGTCACTCTGGGTTCCATCCCCTCCTTTGCCACTGACTTTCTGCATCCTCTTGGCAAGTCATTTAGCCTTTTGGGGCCTCAGTTTCCTCCTCTGTGTAATGGGGATAATAATACTAGTCACAACAAAATTAAGCGAGATGGTGAACATAAGGCATTTACTGGAAAAGCCTGCCCAGACTAAGACTCAGTTTATTCACTAAGGTTGGATGACAAGCGTCAAGTTCCAGAATACCTAAAGGCAAAGAGGTACATGAAAATCCATCAGACCATCATGCCCTTTAATAAATGCAGCATTAAAAGTAAAATAGTGGGAAAATATAAGTGAAAGCTTCTGTTAACAATTTTTAAAATGCTATTGCCGGTGAGAAAGGGACAAGGTAGTGAACTGAATTACTCAAATTAACTCCAGGATAAAAATACAAAAAAGAACTATTAACAGTTGCCACCTACCTAACAAGTATTTTAAAAGGATTAAAGAGCATAGCACTTAGAAATTCTTTGGAAATAAGGAATAAACATACACACACACATATAGACAAATATGTATTTTAACCCACCAAGATTACTATATAAATTTAGATCAGGGCACAGCATGTCTCAGATGAGTAGGGTAGGAACAATATGTTCTTGCTTACGACACCAATCTCATGACAAATGATTCATACCCAGCACTTTTCATGCCAAAAGACCCCCCCAGGTGTTCCACCAACTCTAGCAACGGTTTCCATCAAGCAGGCTGCAGTATAGAGGAATCACATCACACCCACGGATGAGGCAGGCAGTCATGTCTTTACACAACCGTGTAAGTCCAACAGTGGAGGGGGCAGGAGAGTGAAGGAAAAGAGGTGAGAGAACCATCCAGAATCCCTCAGAAGCTTGACAGACAGCCTATAATTACCATACATTTGCACCTTTAATGCAGGTATTATTGTAACCAGAGGCCCTTCTTAGCAAAGGCTCTCAGCTGAAGGTGGGGCAGGTTGAGGCTGGGAGCTGCCTGTGGCACTGAAGGGGCTGGAGGCAGCTTTATGAGGGAGGACGTCTGTATGTGACAAGGTGAGAGCCCCCGATCCTGTCCTCAGGTGGAGGTGACTGGATTTCCAGCTCTGAGGGAAAGCGGAGTGCTGTGGAATGAGAGTTCCAAACAGGTGTACAGAACTTTGCAGTCAAACTTTACCTTTTTATGTCTACTGTGGCATGAAATTCACTGTAATTAATCTAACACTCATGGCCCCCACTTTAGAGGTAAGAAATTCACAGGGTGATCAACTTGCCAAGGTCACATCACAAATAAAGCAGACCTAGTACTCAGGTCTCTACTGTATTTTTCATGTCACAGAGTTGCCAAAACAGTTTCTTTCTGCCTCCTCTCCCTTTAAAAATATTTTAAATTTTGTGTCTCTTGTGCAGCTGGGCCACATAAGTAGGCTCAGCTTTGTTTTGGAGGACCAGGACAAAGAGGATTTCTCTTTCTCCATAATCTGATGTATATACTGAAAAAACAATTTGTGTGTGAGTGGGAGCAGGGGCGGGGTGTCGTTATAGAATGTGAGACTTCAGAGTAGAAATCTCATTGATATGATTTGAGCGCTTATACCTTCAACATTCACCTCCTTGTTTATTCTCTATACTAACTCAGATTTCCCTGCCCTTCACCCATCCAAGTCCTGATCCCGGTAAGCCCCATTGGGCTTGTAAGGACCATTTAAGGAAAAAAAAAAAAAAGAAGAGAAAAAAGAAAAATTGGCCTGGCAGCGCTTGGCGCCATTTCTCAAACGGAGCTTCAAATCTGCCAAAGATGTACTCTCCTTTTCTCACTCTTTCCAAGATCTTTCAAGCGATGAACTAAAGTAGAGGTCTAAGGGGTGAGTAATATTTTACAGCTCGAATTACATTAAAAGCCAGAAATATTGTGAGTCCAAAGTCCTTTGCTTCTTGATACAACAAGATCTAACATGTTTTATGTGTTTAAAATCTCCCCTTAAAGCCAGAAGCTTTGAGTTAATCACTTAAAGCAGTGAGAAAGTTATTCAATCAGTTTAAGAAGATACAGGTTCAAACTGGAGGCTTAATGTTAGTGGTTATGATATGAAAGATATGATAGTTAAGGTAGGGGATGAGGGCAAATGTCTCTAGAACTTGAATGGAAAGAATTTCTGCTTCAATTATTTGATTAAACCACTTCTGAAAACCATATAAAACCCCAGGCTCTCTCATGAATGCTGAGCTGCAGGGAAAACCCGGCCAACACTCTCACGACAGAGACACCAATACACAATACTATCACCATGACTTTCCTTAATTTATGTCTATGTTCCCAAGAAATCCATAACGACAGACTATTATTTTAAAATGTTCACAACTTTCATTAAAAAAAAAATCTGACCATGAGCACAATACATTAAAGTGGCACTTCTCTGCAAAGGTTCTGGCAATTACATCACAACTGAAAACACGGAAAGGTAGGGCTGCAAAGATTATGCATATTACAAAGAAAACAACCTCAATTTCTCAATTTTCTGATGGAAGCCCCAACTTTTATTATTATTCTTATTGTCTTCATTTTACCCATCCTTGGTTTTAATGTTCTTCTTGTCTGCCTCTGGCAGCCTGGAGAACTTTCTACACTTGTACATTGTCTTCAGCTGTTACCATCAGCGCTGGTTCTTCACTGCTTCAGCTCACAGAAGTTTCTAGGCTCAGTTTAAAGTGGAATGGCTCCCTCAGATTCCGGACATGCAGGCTTTTCCACAAATCTAAGACCTTCCCTGACATGGCCAAAGTGCACAGACTTCTACCCTCACTTGTACCATCAGCCTCTTGTAGTCCAGGGATCACTTTCCTCCCTCCATAAAGGGAGGGCCAAGTCTTTATAAGTGCACACCATTCACTACAGGAGGTCAGGCAACAGGGAAAAACAGGGGTTTGTTGTCACTGGGTTATATATGATCTTCCTGGGACTGATCATGCTAGAGAACAACCGCTTATTCACAGACTGGAAAGCCCTAGCTCTCAAAACACACTCGCTGGTGCTGTTAGAAGATGCTTGAGAGTTCCTGCCCTGAAACTTGCAGCCACTTGGTCCCCAGAAACAGGGAATCCACTAAGGGCACCTACTGTCCATTGCAGTTCTCCTTCCCTGTTGGGAAGTAGGAGGTAGGAGTTCTGCATAAAATATAAAATGAAAAGCCTACAAAAACATCTTCTTGATCAGACTTGAGCTCCCCAGTAAGACTAGCAAGTAAAGGGAAAGTCACTTGAGGGAATGTTAGCCTGTCTGGAAATTTAACCCCTTTATCTCCATGTCCAGAATACTTAACCCCCATCTGCTTAGTCTTCAGCTCCACCCACCAATGTGATCAAACAAACAGGAAATAGGGATTTGAGTGCTCAGTATGAAGCTTTCTTCAGGGTCTGGAGATAATTAGGATGGTGTTAGTTGGGGTCTGGGGTGGAGGTAGGTATCTTGACAGCCAATAATAACTCCTGGCGAATGTGGGCTGCCAAGACTTTAGTTTGCAGCATCCCCTCGGTCCAGAAGCCCCATTCTCCTTCCTTCTCCAACTGCTCATACAGCTGGTTTTAACCCTTTCCACCCTTCACCCCTTGGCCCGCAGTCCCATTTTACTCACGCTGCTGTTGTGGCCAGACCAGTGGACCATGGCTTGGTTGTGTGCTGAGTCGCCTGTCAGCGCAAACGTGGTGCTGGTCAGTCTCAGCTCCTCCATCCGGAAGCGGGTGGCTTTGTCCAGATCCCGCTCCTGAGTCCCAGGCTCCTGCTGCCCGCCGTCCCTTAGCACTCCTCGAGGACTCCTATTCGCGCCTTCTCGGCGTTCAGCCTTCTCCGGGTCCGCTCCACTCCGTCTCCTCCGGCCCGAGCGCGTAGCACCCTCCACGGACAAGCCGGTGCCCCGGGCTCGCTCCAGGGCAAGCGCTCTGTCCCCGGGGGCCACTGTGAACAGGGGGCCCCCAAGGAAGGGTACGGGCATGGCAGGCGCCCTGCCTCGCGGCCCCTGGTAACTAGAGCTCCTTAGGGTCGGGGCCCAGTGCGGAGAGGAGCCAGCGTGCGGCTGGGGACAGCAAGAGCCGCCGCTGCAGGCGCCCGGGGCGCACAGGACCAAGAGCCCCGCGCCGGCGAGGAGCGCGCTCAGCCTGGCTGGGGAGCCGCCGCCGGCGCCAACTTTTCCCATCGCGGAGCTGAGAGGAGCCGAGAGGGGTCCCGGCCCCGAGGTGGCGGAGCGGGCTCTCCGCGGGCCGGCGTGGGGCAGGCGCTCAGGATGCCAGCTCCATGCAAGTTGGGCCGCGGCGGGGCAGGCGGCGGCGGGC